CATTGATTGGCTCAGGCCTCATTTCTAAGACTTGCGTGGATTCCTACTAGCGAATGTGGTGCGTACACTGAAAGAGTGAAAGTTCCGTACGCACAAAAAAATTCAGATGTATCAAAATGTGCATACGCAGAAATCCCCCGTACATTGTCTTGTACATCGCAATCAACCGTGAAATTGAGCGCACATGCAGAGACAACGCTCCACCCTGTCCCCTCCCTCAAATACACCGATTTGAATATGCTATTAGTATAATAGAACTAGATAGTGCTGTCTTTAGGAAAATGGCCAAAAGCCAGGAAAGTGTGTGAATTGGAGGTGCTGCTGCACGGAGGTGTGTAGGCCAAAAAAATATTGTCATTCTTGCGGTGGCACAGCGAGTCCAAGATCGGTAGGGTCGGGAGAAGCTGCACCGCTTACCGAAGCGTGAAGTTATGCTAGCCATGTGAAAAAATCTGGTTCCTCAAATGACATTTGCTTTAAAGAAAATCCCAGTTATTTTCAAATAGTTCATCCAGGCTAACATGATCTTAGCCAGGTAAAGTTATCCTGTAAATTCTCGTCTGCAGTTTTTAGGGACACATTTTTTAAAGCATTTTCTAATTTTTGATTGATTAAAAAAATTACCTAATTATGGCACAATTTAATTGCAAATCTTGCTTTTTGTATTCTTCAGACAGAAGCTTGTAATAATATATATTTAAACTTAAAATTACAGAATTCATGTAGAATCAACACGAAGGAAGTATATTTAAATATTTTAAGATTTTAAGAAGAGGGCTAAGCTAGAATCAGACTCATGTATTGACCATAAAATATTATTTAAATATTTTCTGCATTTATGCCTTGACTGGAATGGTAAATGGACCTGTACTTGTATAGCGCCTTTCTAGTCTAGTCTTCCGACCACTCAAAGCGCCACATTCACCCCTTTCCACTACCTCTACAAGACAGAACAGAACATGCATCTACACATTTCAACGACACTAGATAGCACACATAGGAGCCAATCTTGGGGGTTCAGTATAGCTTGCTCAAGGATACTTCGACATGTTGCACCCGGAGCTTCTGTTTAGGGGACGACCCGCTCTGCCTCTGCACCACAGCCGCTGCTGCTGAACATGTAACACTGGTGTGGAGCAGGCTCCACAACATGGCGTCGTGTAGCAGTGGCGACCAGAGCTCTATCTTTGGCTCACTGAGGTGGTAAGTCCTAGCCTCTGTAGTATCCTTAAAGGTCCTGTGCACCCATACCAAACTCGCCTAGATGAGAGTTCCGTTATTGTGGTTGATTAGAGCTCAGACCTGTGTGGGAGTGTCCAGATGGTGCTTGTTTAACATCTCCCCACTCTACTGTTAGCTTTGCTAAATCGAATTTGTATCAATATTAGTTTGGTGACATATAATTCACAGCACGTCTCTGCCCCCCTTCAACCTGAGCCCAGGTGTAATCAGCCACAATGAAGACCAGAGTGGGTGTGCAGCTGTGGATGACTGGCTAAGCAACCAGAGGTTGTGTTACAAATTTGACACTTAAAGGCTTTATACAACTTTGTTTACATATATAGTGAACATCAGAGAGTTCCTTTATTAGTTATGAAACTGACTCAAATTGAACTGAAATTAATTGTTATCATCCAAGTATATACAATATATTTCCAATTTAAGTAGGATGTATAGCAGTGGTTCCCAACCTGGGGGTTGCAAGGCCTTTTTGATTGATTGAAAAAAAAAAGAAGAAAAAGAAGGTAAAGTAAATTGACTTATAATGAAACAATGGCCAAGAATTATGGAAAAGAAAACACTGAATTTGTCAGAGAAGAAGCCCACTAAGTCCGTATGCAGTTTACCAAATGATAGAATAGGGGTTCTAAGGAAAAAGGTTGGCAACCACTGATGTACAGTGCTGTGCAGTAAAGCATTACTAGTAACAATATTACAGTAATATTACTTTCTAAAGTAATTAGTAGTGTAACTAATTACTAATAAATGTCAGTAATAATACTGGTATTATAGTTCTCCTTCTCTCCTCCCCAGAAATAATTAGTTACAACATTACTTTTGTTGTCACCCCTACTGATCTGATATCCCACCGTCCGGCCACATCCTTGGATTCATTTGTGTAATCATGGAGGAAACTAGTTTGGAAGATGGAAAATTTAGCAGCTGGAAATATTCCATTACTTTGATTTTAATTTTATTCGGAGAAGGATCACTTTTACCAATTGTAATTATATTACTTTACAACTTTTTAAAAAAAGTAATAAGAAATACATTTAATAGTTTCAGTATAGTTACTGAAACTTGGGCTAGTTATTGGGCTAGTGCCCAACACTGCTAATAAAGGTACATTTGGTACAGTACATTTTAGGGTTTAAATGACAAATCACATATCACATTTTAGTGTTTAAATGTGATATTTAAATCACCAGTTGTTAACTGTTTTGAATTGAATAATTGAAAACACTTTTATTTCTTTTGTTTACAGTATCCCTAACTTTGATTTTGATTTAATTCCATTGTATAACGTATTTTATTGTAATAAACTTTTTTACTGTCAAAAACTGATGTCGTTTGAATTATGGCTGGTACGAAACACACAGTCATACTTTAGTCTTTCACTCAGATTGCCCATGTATTTTGTTTGAAACACAGCTGTTGGTAGGAGAACCTGCACGGAACAACACTTTACAACAGGTTTACCACACGTGGAACAAACTTGCAGCAATGTTTTTGGCGTCAAGTGTATTTTTTTCTGGAGCCACAAGCAAAATTCTGATAAAAGCCCAGTGGAAAAATGTGTTGTGGTTAATAGAGATGATAATTGCATGTGCAACAAACTTTCTGCTTCTGCTTTTAATAGACTAATAGGTGAAGAAGATTAATTTTCTATAAAATAAATTTAATTCTACTTCATTTGAACTGTTACCTGTGCTGGTCATGTATGCAATAAATAAAACGGGGTTAAATGTATCATTACAAGGTCCTCCGGTAAATTATATGACGTTGTTAGCAAGTGCTGTCCTGTATTATCAAGAAAACTCCTGGGAAATACTCTCTCAAAATAGTGGGAACCCTGTTAGACTTTGAGCTGTCTATGAAAAGGTCCAGTGTGTAATACTGAAGAGGATCTATTGTCAGAAATGGAATATTAATATTCATAGGTATGTTATTCATTAGTGTATAATCACCTGAAAATAAGAAATTATTGTGTTTTTGTTACCTTAGAATAAGCTGTTTTCTATTCTACAGAGGGAGCTCGGTCCTCTGCTTACCGGTTCACCAATGTTGAACCGTCATGTTTCTACAGTAGCCCAGTATGGACAAACCTACAGGCTCTCGATAGGGCCTTCAGCTTTTGGCACAAGTTTTGCAGCCACTGTAGTTTCCCCTCAGCTTGGAACGGGAGGCGGAGGTGAGGGAGTTGTAACCTGCAACTGCACTGCTAGCTGCCACACCGGTCCTTTGAGTCCGGACTAGTCCCAAATAATTGATCAAATTAATCAGCTGACTCAAGTTAGTGCCGTGTAGTCATTTATCGTAGAGGTTTATTTCCCCTTTAATTATAAGCAAAGACTTTATTCCATCTCAAATTCCCACAGTATTTGTGTTAATGTGAAAAACAATTCAACACATTCTTATTCATCCTACTGCTTTATTTAGCATTTCACATACTGTATAAAGTCTTCTGTATATACATAATATACAATATACAGTCAGGGACAGTGCAGTGTTTATATCACAGAGTCAAAATGCTAAGGGCTAACTTTTTACAGTTCACATTTTGCACGATGAATATCCAGTGTTTAACATTCAGACTGAGCAGTGACAGCACTGTTTTGCTCAACATTTCTTCATTTTACATCCACGAAGAAGCTCAAACACGTATTTGGTTTCCTTCCAGTGAAAAGGTGTAGAAATCTAAGGCCGTTGAGTATGTCATTAATCAAAGTACTGTGACGAATACCAAGCCTCTGTTTGTAGCGATGTCTTGGCTTCCGCCCTCTTGTAAATTGAGGTGCGATTACCAGCTGCACTGTTTCAGAATACACAACACAAGTCAAACTCATCACCCTGAACATGCTTTGGAAACACTCTGCACTGATGACATATGGCATGCTATTATGCAAATCATCAAAGTTAATGTGACCCATTTTCTTTCTTATGAAAGGCAATTTCTTTTTTCTGTCACATTCTCTGAACTGACTTTCACTACATAACATCAGGAGTGTGTGTTTCCAAAGATCTTCTATGCAGAGCTGATGGAATGACAACAGTATCGCTTCATAGGTTAGGGAATAAAAAAAGGGGGGAAAAAGGAGAAAGTAAACAGAGAAAGGCACTTCAGGGCACCAGATATGGCAGTGGGGTTCAAGTGAGTAACAGGTTTGACACTTGAAAATCTAACATTAAAGCCTTCCCACTCTGCACTCCGACATCTCAGCTGACTCTCACTCATATAAAACACTGTATGAAGAGCTAGCAAAATACTATCAGAAGGCACAAGATACGTCAAACCAATTAATGAAGCTGTGGAGTATGAAACCTCTGCAGTTATAAAGCCAGAAGCGTTTGTTGTGGGTTGTTTATGACTGGCTTTTGTTGCATTTCAGCATGGTCACACATGCAACGAGAGTCCTCCAATTCACTTTCATTCCCTGCAAGCAAAGGGTGAATTAAACCTTTGCTTCCAGTGGTAAAAGAGATTAGCATCTGCGTTGTGCGTGGAGCTCAAAATTGGTGAACTTTAACTGGAGAAGTCACAGCCTCAACCAACAGCAAGCTGGTGTTTGGTTGACCCCTAAAACAGACAAACCAGCAAACGGATTTGTGGGACACATCCATCATATATATGACGTCCGCTGAAGCATCAGATTCAGTTAACCCAGACTGCTGATATACATTTAGTGATTCGCAGTCAAATATGAGGAGAAAGAAATCCAGCAGCGATTTCTCCACTGGTAAAAATGTTTCCTTAACCATCAGGTCATCAGAATATGTGTCAGAGCACAGAACTCCAAGACCTTCCAGGTCCTGATCCACGAGAGATGGACAAATCTCATCTGCTTTCCACTTTTACTGCTCAGAATGGTCAGCCGATCAGTAAAAGGCTCTGTGCTTAAGGTCTTCAGACAGACCTGATCCCTGAAAACCCTGAGGACCCGACCCAACAGGGTGTCCGATACGATACAGACTTCATAGACCTGCTCAGTTGCAGGTGGAGTCTGAACTCCTACTAGTCTATGGACTGTGGACTGTGTAAAACTTTGATAACACAAGCTGCATCTTTCAAACACTGAATATTATTGGCTAAAGTGTGTCCTCATCGTGGTACGCTGAACCCTGGGAACTGCTTCAGCTGGGCATACACTGTACCGCTTAAGCCAGTTTCTGTGTGTTCAGTTTGTTACAAGTTGCTAGCCTCGAAGCCTTGGAGCTTTCAAATGGCAATTGTCAATAGGCAGAGCGGTCTGCAGGGGCCAATGGGCTCTTTCATTTTCACAGGCGGTGTAAGGTCAGGTCGCGAGTTTAGCTTTACAACGCAGACAATTTACCCGTACAGCAGGAGTTGGAATTAAACATTATTTTGCGAAATCGTACAGTGTATATCCAGCTTTAGTTGAGGTGGTGGGCGATGCTGCCCCCCTGGTTTAGCCCGTTACCTCTACCTTTTCCAGCTTGTAAAAGCTGATTTCCCCAACATCGTCATGTGTTACTTTGATTAATTACTGTGAAGCGAATTTATGTGATGGATCCGTCACCTGCTGAGATCCTGATCCTCATTATCAATGTAGTTACGAGATGAAGGTCAAAGTAATCGCCTCTCTCATTAAATAAGTGGCCTTTGCCGTCTAAAGCCTGGCAGACAGTTTGTGGATTATTAAGCCCAATTTTAACCTTGATTGGTTGCCCCAAATATCCGCCAGATCGAGACAAACGTCCGCCAGATCAGTTGTCACTTGGCGTTCAGATTAAGGTCACAGCACCTGATTAATTGCCTGAATGATCAATAATCTGGTTTATGGATGATCCTTTAGATTTCTGGCAGTTTGAGACTGCTGACTCACTGCAGAACAGACTCCATATTGTCTGTATCTTTCAGCTCTGGCTTCATATTCTTTTTACTTTCCATTCATAGTAGAATTGCACAAAGCAAAAGTTGCATTTCTCTCTTTGGGGGACATGGTCTTTTTTTATTAAATGTTACTGGAATTGTCAAAACTGACTGGGGGTTCTGTGCATTCAGTGTGAGCTGCACACCATGGCCGGTCAGTTGAACATATGTACTATATGAACATCAAAGTGCAGAAAGGCTGATTATAATGTGTAGTGTAAGTTTAGGGTGGGGTAAGCATTTCTAGGTAATGCCACTCTAATCAAATACACTTCAAAATTTAACGAATATCTCCTCACAGTCCGATTGTTGACTTGTACGCAGCGCTGGCTTTGTAAATGGGAAACAAATATATAGTGTTTTTTCATCAAATTAGTTTTGGTTCTTGAACCACTTCTTGGAACCTAAGGGCTATCTAGCGAAACACTGCGTTGTGAGTGGAACCATAGTAATCAAGGATGCGTCATCAACAGAGGGCGCTGTACAATGCACAACGACCTGTGGAATATGACACGCCCACTTTGGTTCCAGCTGGGAATCACCTTTTAAGTTCCGAACCAATTTTTTTGCAAAAACTGCTCTGAACAGTTTAAAACTATGTGCATGAAACAGAATGGAGACCTAAAGTGTATCGGAGCGACCCACACAGTGCTAACTTGTTATTCTTGTCCTCAACATTAGCGACCGCTTGCTAACCCACAACATAGCTAACGTTAGCTACACTACTTGCTGTGACGTTGTTCGCTCTATGTCATCGGTATTGGATTTTTCGCTCACTTTCCCCACCTTTGACATAACATATAACACACAGTGTCTGCCAGCTTTATGTAGCGGCTCTGCTCATTTTCTTTATAGCTTAATATCATGTTTCAGAAATGTGCATCTATTTCTTCTGACGTTTGCGGAGGCGCTGTGCCCCTACAATGATACACTGAGGGAATACATACATAGTTAGCCTGGCTCGATGAACTGCATTGTAGGCTGTTTTAGACAGAGAAAGCCCAGAGAAACTTTGAATTGCCCTAATGCTTGTGATATACAGCTTCAATGTGAGTAGTACTGGTCATGCTGCAGCTGCGAACTGCGAGGAACTAGTGGATTAAAATGTTTACCCACTGTGAGGCAGATCAGGATGGGACAAACACTGGCCGACATTGGAACATTTTCACATATTCCAACTTAACACGGTGACACACGTTCACTGCTACCATCCTCTGTGGGTTTAATTCCATCTTGTGCAGTGTTAATTTACTGCACACACAACGGTCTGAGGGAATCCAGGATATAGGCTGATATGGCTGATATGTGGTGGTTATAATGCAAACATGAATGCCTGGTCAAAAGCAAGTATATCAAAGGATTAAAGATACTGAACCAGCTAATGGGGGGTTTCTACACACCAGTTAGGAGCCATTTAGTTTTTAATCACATTTTTTCCTACTGGTTTGGAGCTAGATGGGCTAACAGATGGTAGTCAGGATTGAGTTTGTTGTTTGAAACTCTGGTCTTTTTTGTTGGCTATCAGTTCTCTACTAAATGCATCCTGTGTGCTACAGGGTACTGCAGAAATACGGTAACTTCACTCATCCGGTATGATGCTCTTCCCAATGCTGCTCGCTGTACTCCTCCAAATGACCTGTTTTTCTCCACTGTTGCCTCCTGTCTCCATGTGTCGATCGTGGTTACATGGACACGAATCGAGGTTAAGTCCAGCACTGATCAATACTACAACAGTCCTGTCCAGAGATTGTAGCAGGCGGTGTTGATGACAGACTCCAGGTGATGATACATGGACACCAGCTGAGGAGGGGGGCTGTTGCTGGCCTGCGGCTGCGACGGCAGCGGCTCCCGAAACACAACCTTCAGACTCTGTGGGAGGAAGAAAATGTAAAAGAAACACTCCTGAGATGTTTGCACAGCTTTAGTGAAATAATAACATAAATCATATCAGTACATTAACTCACTGTTTTTCCAGCTTGGGTGTCCAGAAAGACCAAAACAAAGCAGTCAGTGAACTTTTGGTTCAGAACAGCCTGAAACAAGATGGCAGAGAGGGATATACTGGAGATTAGATCGACTTTTTTGAAGCTGTCTACTTACAAGGATTCTTCTATTACATCTTTATGATGTTAAACATTAAGGACACACTTTTTGTGACAAATGTTAAAATACTGGCAGTTAGTAGATCTGGAGCAAACTGTGTACGCACCCAGGTTTACATAGGCAATCTGAGTGAAGGCCTAACATTTTCCAGGACAACAGAGATAATTTGGTCATTTTAAAGGAGACATATTATGCCCCCTTTCAGGTTCATAA